CCCCAGGCCAGGCGGGCCTGCGCCACAGTGATCTCCAGGGGCCTCTGGTGGCCCAGGCGGCCGACAGGACCAGGGCTGGGGGGCCTGGAGTGCAGAAGCGCAGGCTGACGGACGTCAGGAGGAAGGGGCCACCCAGGGCCAGAGTCAGACTGCCGTTACAGGTGGCCCCCGCGGACAAGGCGCAGGCCTGGGGACAGGAGGCCACTATGCCAGCCAGCTGGGTCACTGGTGGGAGGCAGAAGCGGGGGCGGCCCCCTGGATGGTAGCATGGGTCCGAGGTGGCCCGGCTCAGGAGAAGCAAGAGGGCGAAGGTCACGGGCATGGTCCCAGCAGGGGCAAGTACCTGGACAGGAGAGGAGTGGCCAGGCTGAGGGTCTCAGGCCGCCCCCTCAAGTGTCAGCCTCCACCCCACTCCCCCAGGCCTCCTGAGGACCCCCGCATTCCACCTCCAGCCCAGCCCGAGCCCCCTCCCCATGGCTTCTAAGCGAGGAAAATAGTTCCATCTGGGGAGAATTACTGTTTACACAACCCAAAGGGGAAAGAACGCAAGCGAAATCGAGAATTTTGCCTGAACTAATCCGTAGCTTAACACCCCAGAGCGATCTGTCAGTGCGAGGGCCAGGGGCCTTGGAGAGAGGGCAAGGGGGGCAGACGGGGAAACCGAGGGAGAGCACCAGGCGGCGCAGGGTCAGGGCTTTGCAGGAGAGCGAGATTTAGAAATGGATGAAGCTCAGAGACAAAGGAATAGAGAAAGGGACAGTGGCACAGCCAGCAGAGATGACAGGAGAGACAACAGACACCAGGGGAGGCCGGGAGGCCTCGATAAGCAGGGGCCAAGCACCCAGAGGCCACAGGGAGTAGGGGGAACTGGGGTCCAGGACAGACAGGCGGGCGGGTGGGCTCACAGGCACGGGGAGAGAAAACAGACAGCCCGGCCCATGGGAAGCGGGGAGGGGAGAGGCCGGGGTGTCCAGCAGGCAATCGGGAGCAGGAGGCCAGGCCTGGGCCCACGGGGATCAGAGGGGAGGCTGTTCCCACGTGGGGCTCTAACCTTGTTCTCCACACCAGGGGCACGGAGGGGATTATCACCAAACCACCCCCAGCCTCCACCATCCTTAACCCTTTCCTACCCAGGTGCAAAGACCAGAGGAGCTCGCTAAGGAACAGGACCAGGACACCTGGGGCTGCAGGCCTGGGTCGTTCTGGGGCTGGGAGTGGGGACGGAAGCCCTGTGGGGTTGCGAAGGTAGCTGCCTGGGTTCCCCTTAGGACTCCAGGTGGGGCGACACTATGCTTGGATTTCCGAGGACCTCTGATGGCCGCAGCCCCTCCCTTCCCAGCCTGCCATCCTGAGCCTCAGGGTCCGTGGATCTGAGACCCCACATTCTCACATCTCCACCCTTCCTAAGGTCCCCAGGGCAGATGGGGGAACAGATGATGGGGGTGGTGGGTCCTAAAGGAGGAGAGAGAGAAAGGGAGGACAGGGCAGGGCCGGAGGCCAGGGCGTCCGAGGGGGCCGGAAGTCCAGAACCCTGGGATGGCAGGAGCCAGGAAGGACTTGGTGCTGAGCTGCTCCCCGCTTTCCCCTGCCGGGGCTGGCAGCCCCTAAAAAGTCACTCACTCCAGTCTAGGGACTCGGAGCCTTTCTGGGCCCCACCGCCCAGTCCGCTGGCTCTGAATCTGGCCCCGGGCGGGAGTCTGCGAGGCACCTGGGGCCACGGGTGGGGCCACACCCTCCCCGGGTCTGATTTCACAGCCCCCAGTGTCCCCACGGCTGTCGCCAGGTGCAGTAGCCCCTGCCCCGGGGACGGGCGTCCCACTCCGCCCCTCCTGGGGAGCCTGGCGCCATTTTGCGCTCTGGAGGCGGCATTTGCCCAGAGGCCTCGGCACCAGCCCTGGCGGGGACTTAGCCCCATCTCCCACCTCTCTTCTCGTGCGCGGGTGGTTCAGGGGGTACCACTGTCTGGCCCTTAGCACCTTGAACAACGAGACCGTGAGTCCCCAGTGCTCCTGGGGGACCCAGAAGCCAGCCCTGCCCACTGGGGAACCCAGATGACCGGCCCCCAGCCCCTACTCCTTCTGGAAGCTGGAGCCCACCCCCAGCCCCTTTAAGGAACAGTCGAGCTGTGTTCCCACCGGACCCATGGCCGGGCCCCCATGTCTGGGCAGCGTGGGGTCCGTCTGGAGGCCAGGCTCCTTTTCCTTGGCTTTTTTGCAAGCACCCCGCCCGCCCTTCACCCCTCACGCTGGCCAAACCTGCACCCAAGAAGAGAGCGTCCTCTGCAGTTAGATCCTCACGTGTTCGTGTTCCTCCTTCCGCAGGAGCTCGGCAGCCAGCGTGGGCTCTGGGGAGTGAGTGCTGAGTGGCTGTTCTCAGGCCCCAGGCTAGTGGGGGTTCTGGGCGGGCGCTCAGAGCAGAGCCCGCAGAATCCAACACCGCCACCGCCCCCCCGGCCCCCCGCCGGCCCCAATCCCCTCACCAACGCCAACCGTAGCCACGCTCTCCCACAGGGCCCCTGCCAGCGACACCACCCGGGACTGCGTGGGACCCCAGAGCTCTCGTCTCTTGGAGGCCAAAAGCCCAGCAGCCCCAGCAGACTGGCCCAGGAGGCTCAGGCAGGTAGAACAGGACGGGACAGCGGCTGGTGGCGGGGGGTGGGGGAGCTTGCCGGGTCCGGCGTCCCCACTGCACTCACACTCACCCCCCAGAACCGGGTGCAGCGTGGTGAACCGGGCGCAGCTCGGCCCCACCACGCGGTGGCGGCAGTCAGGGCTCCTCACACTAAGGTGGGACATTGGCCTCTGGCTCTGCAACCCTAGCCAGCCCCTCCTCCCCTCTGGAAATTTCTGTCCGCTGTGAGTTAACTAACTGAGCGTTAAGGTCAGTTGCTGCCAAGCCCTAAAAACCAGTGTTCTCGGAAGGGTCGGACCAGCCCCGGGGAACGCAGAGACGTGGGCTGCTGTCTAGGATGGTGGGGACGGAGGTGAAGTGGACAGCCTCGGCCTCAGTGCTTCTAGCGGCTGGAAGGAGAAGGTGGGGAAACCGAGGCGCACAAAGCTCAAGGGCAGCCTCCCCGACGGCCAGGTGCTTGCGAGGCCTTACTGCTTCTGCTGGGAAACTGCCACGTAAATGTGGCTGGCAACTCTGTCACACGCCGAATGGTGTTGACTAGAAAAATGGTGTTTTCCATCACTTTCTGCTGAGAAAAGCAAGGGCCTCGGGAAGATGGGGCACAGAACATGCTGCCAGGGCCTCGAGTTCCCCTCCTCCCGCTTTGACTACGGCACAGTGTGGGCCTCACCCAAACGGGGGGACCCACTGTCTGGACCCTGCCCTGAGGATGGGAGGGCACGGCCAAAGCAAACCAGGTGACCTCACAAGGACAGGGACATCGAATTTGAAAGCTGTGAGGAGTGAGTTGCAAGAGAAAGGGATTGGGGGCAGAGACACCCCCAAATCAGAGGGGGGCACATCCGATCTCGGGGCGGGCGGCGTGAGGGACAGTGACGTAGTCCTGTATTCGTGGCACTCATCCATTCAGCAGGTATCCTTTGCGTGTCACACTGCAGAGCACACGCGGACACGTGAAACACACGCCCCTCCCTTCGTCAGCCTCAGTCTAGCGCGAGGAGAGATCGCCACGGAAAAGTGCTAAGTGTACGTGAAACACACGCCCCTCCCTTCGTCAGCCTCACAGTCTAGCGCGAGCAGAGATCGCCACGGAAAAGCGCTAAGTAGTTACATCCTAGAACACGGTGGAAGACGACAAGTGCTTTGCCCACCGCAAAAGCAAGTAGGGAAGTGGATGGGGGTGGGGGCGGCCTGGAGGGGACGTTCGCGCTGTGGGATGCGACCCAAAGCCCTCAAGCCGTGTGCCTATCAGGTAGGACCAACCCCGGGCGAGGGCCTGGCGGGGCAAAGGCTGCGTTTGCCGCTGGAGAGAGTTCAGAAGGAAGGTTGAGGTCTTACCTGTCCTTCCCACCCGGGGACAAGAGGTTTCTTAAGCTAACGTCACCTGGGGGAAGGCCATCCCACCCTTTTGTTCTTAATAGCCTGAGCGATTAGCGCCCTTGAAGGTGCCGGGGAGAGGGGGAGGGGTGCGAGCGGCCAGAGCGGAGAAAACAACTCCCCAAGTTGGGAAGGACACTGGGGGGGGGGCTGTCATCCACTACTGGGCACCCTCACAGCACCCCAGCGGGGAGCGAGGGCCTCCCAGCTCCGAGGTGGGCTCAGCGGGGTGGGACCCACGGCCCTTCTCTCCCTACCTTGGTGACCCAGAAGTAGCAGAGGCCCCAGAGGCAGGGCAGCCACACCGCACGCGGGTGCTGGTCCTCGGGCCGGACTCAGAAAGCCCAGGACGGTACCGAGAGCGCAGATTCCTGAGCAGCCCGGCGTGGGCTCCGGTCCGGTTCCAGCTCTCCCAGCTGTCGCCTCTCTGCGCCTTAGTTTCCTCACCCGTTAAATGGGCACACAGATGTACCTGCCCCGTGGGGCACCAAGAGACTCGCAGAGCAGAGACAGACCTGCAGTCTCGGATCTGAATCTCCTCAGACCAGACGCGCTTCGGAACCTGTGGTCGGCATGGTCGCGGTGTGCGGACCGTCCCTTACGTGGCAGCTCGGGCCGGCCCGGGCAGTGCCCCGTTCTGAAGCGTTACGGTTTCTGCGGCGAAACCACCGGCATTGGCGCTAAGTCAAGTCTACGAACAGCCGCACGTTGGTTCAGGTCAGGTTTCGTCCCTAAGTGAGTTCACTTCGGTTTGGGGTTTGCCACCGGTCTTAGGACAATGGCCGACGAGGAACTGCGGCCCAGGGAGTAAGCGCTGAGACCAGGGCCTGGCCTGCAGCAGGAGCCACAGAAGCGTCTGTGACTTAACTCGATCTGTTGTGTGGCTTTTCGGTTGTTAGGCTGGTGAAGAGCCAGGAGAGGGCGCTCCTGAGACTCAGGGACAGAGGGTGCAGCAGGCCCGGTTTCTGGATTTGCGGAGCCTGCTGCAGAATGAAAATGTGGGCGCCTGGTTCGAAGGCACTGAGGATGTCTGGATGGCGAGAGCAGAGCATTAAGCGAACACAGGGCCCTTTCGGATGCAGGGCCTTGTGTGACCACCCGGGGTCGCACCATGGAGATGGCCCTGGGCGGCGGCGCCTTTGTCCTGAGCTGGTTTCTCCTCCCCAGTGTCCCAGATTCCAGTCCTGCTCAGCTCTGGCTGGAGGCTGAGTCCTTCGTTGGCCGCATGGAGGACCCCAGGCAGGACCTGCGCTGAGCAGGTGGTGTGATGAGGATTGGGACAGAACTGTCATCAGACCAGTGAGAAGAGAGGGC